CGCCATTGGAGAATACCCGAGCCCTGATAGGACAAAGACTGGTACAACAGAACAGGCTTTATTGACCAATCCCAGGCCAGGACCACGCGTCAGGCGCCTTCCACCCGAGTCTGCTACGCTGGCCACGCCGCTCATTATATACTGCACCTCAGTCGTGTCCTACTCTGGTTGGCTGCTTTTCTTCCTCGCATGCCATTGGATCCCAGAGAGACTCAGGATTGGCTGAGTCCAGTGTCCAACATGTCTGCGCCCTAATCCGACGCCACAGATCCACCACACGATCCATACCACACTACAGCACCTATTACGGCGCAAATTAAATAAAGGTTTCCACTCTCTTGTACGGCCTTCGTTGTCATTATTAAGCTAAATTTTTCGACAATGCTTTTTTAATTTTTTTATTTCACGTCGCACATTTTACGCTGTTCACTAATCAGTTCTACCGTTCTGTTAGTACCAATCGTCTGTTTGGTTGGGAATCATTTATTATGCTTAATACTTTGCGTTTATTCTTTGTGCTAATTTTAATTCATTTCTTGCTTTCATCCTCTTCAAAGTTGCACCTTTTGAAGGGTCTGGTAAAATGTGTCCTGGGTGTATGTAAAACCAAATGAAGTCAACACGGTCTTTGCTTTAAGTTACAGGTTCAGTTTCCACGTTTTCAAACACAGTTTATGCATTTTCTTAAAATTTGTATAATAGCATAAAATACCAAAGCATTTGGCGGATATAAGTTAGTCTTCCCTCTGGTTTCACCTGCCTAAGCTTATTGGCCACATTTCGAGATGGATTTCTTAAAAAGAGGACTTCATAGATCTGTTTTCGCAATGACAAAAACTTGTTTTTCTGTTTCTGATGTTATTTCCTTTAATTTTTTTTTAATGTTACTAACTTAAAATCATTTACTTTAACGCGCTTACTCCCACTTTTACCAGACGATGATTTGCCTTCTCAGCACGTCTTTTCGTAAAATGAAGGTTCCTATGTTGCGTCTCATCTGAATACTGAAATTTTGATCCCTTACTTGCCCGTTATTTGTAATACCGCTTGCATTTCAAAGACGGAAATAGCATCCATGTTTGGTTTATTCTCGAATCTATAGCAGAAAATTGTACCAAAGAACTTTCTAGAAAATTATCTCGCAAATATCTTTGTATTTCTTCTATTTCTAGGAACCGGATAGATGTCAGAGTACGTTTGTGAACAATTCGTCCGTCGTTATCTTATGTCTCACAATTACACACGGACTTGGGCTATTTTGGATATTGAATCATCTTCTGATAACTTAAATGGATGTGTAATTTCAAGAACACTTATATTAATTTCTACTTTCGTAGTTCCAACCTTCGAAAATTGTCGAATGTATGAATCGAGCAATAACCACTCTAGACCACGAAGACCTTGGAAAAATATGGAAGGGACTAGAGGATTGTTTCTTATCTCGGTTGGATCAACTACATTTGGCAAAATTTGAGTCATTAAAGGGGTATACTTACAAGACGTTATTGTGTGAGGCGATAAAGTGCAATGAGGTAGTCAGTATCAACAGCTTTTTTAACAATCAGAAAATCTTTGACCTATCCTCACCTTCGTGGGCACAGTGGTTGGGTATGCTATTGTTTGTACCTCTTAGTTGAGTTACATAGCGTTACCATTCATTAAGGAACCACAAAAACATCATTTTTTTGGTCGATATTTTACGAAAACGTGGGTGGATGTCCTCTTTACGTCCCTTAGCAATTTTCTTTGCGTGCTGTTCTCTTCACTTCCAATTCTTTCGAAATTGGAGGATCAAGAAGATATCGCACCGGTAGGTTTTATTAAAACTGGTAAAGCCGCCACCCCAGCATTTCGTTCAAGTGAGTTTTGATGGCCTTGCCCTGGCTTAACCGCAATCAGTACTTAAATTATATAGTAGTCCATTTGTTACAACTCATTACTCGTGCTGGTCCTGTTCTTCATATTCGTAAAATTTTAGACAGCAAAAACTTCCCGCACGACCCGTCCTCAACCGACTTTGGATGACTTTGCTGATCTTCCTTCGGCTCGCATAGTTAAACAGCGCTAGTTCACTCGTCGCGGTCGAAGTGGAGAGTGCCCGCAGGCCCTTATTTTACAAGTTCTACCTTAACAACCTTCCATCATTCCATTTGCTGATACGCTCTCATTTACTTTCCCTCCTATTGTACAAAATCGGTATCACCCACATTTCAACATGTTTTCACCAATACAATTTTGGGGTTTTCTACTCTTGTTGATGATGTCCTTTTCCGCAAACTTTGGTCCACTTTAGACTTAAGAGCTATCTTTTTTGAAACCTGGTTGCAGCTACGGTGCTATCAAACAGCCTGAAGCAAGTGAGGCACAGTAGCGAGTGACCTAGTAACAAGCGTGTTTATGGATGGGACAGTGACTGGTTTGGCTGTTTTCAGTAACTGCTCATTTATAAATCGCAAAAAAAGGTTTTTTACTTGTGCTTCCGGGAATCACGCATGGACTGCCGAGCATTACACGGGCCTGCTCTGTCTCGAGAGGCACACCACAGTCAGATTGCAGTTAGTCTGAAGTGTACTAAAAATTGGGACCAGTCCGCGAGGGGAGTGGGTATCTTTGCCTTGGGCTGCTCGTTCTCATGGGGTGTTACTCGTTGGAGTGAGCTCTTAATGCCCACCATAGTGTTTTCGGTCGTGGTCGACAACTTGAACACCAAAAGCTAACTCCGGTAAACGGTTTGGGTTTTACAGACTCCAACACTGCTGGAGCTGTAGACAAGCTGACTGCAACTGAATAGTAGTTCTACTAGAGAGCTTCGGGGGCCCATTCTGCTATGTTTTGGTCGAATGTGCGTTGTCCGAAAATCGAGCCCACTGGCTTCTGTGCCACAGAATTCGTAACGTGGGGTACGAGGCCCCTGATGCGCGGACTCCCGCTGCACATTAGGGCACCGCCTGACTTCACGACATTGGCTGTCTAATGACCAAGTCCAGTTACAGTTAGGTTATAGTAGTGATTTATGTCCCGGCATTGGGCGACCGCGTCTACGCAGACAGCATGGCTTTTCAAGGTGCAAAGAAGGCTACATTAAAGTATAAATATAATCGTCGTCGGAGTCATTCTTCTACGAAAATGTGCATATGTGTTCGATGGGAGGGGTAAGAATCGTCCTTTGAAGTCGCCGAAAGATCCAGCACGGGGCTGAGGGGGGTGCTCTGGGGTCTTCACTAATAAAAGGTGCTTTCGATGAAGGGACCCTGCTTAAATCATGCATGCACTGATGACGACGACAGAACTGGCACGCTTAACTTGCCGGTCTCACTACCGGCTTTTGAAACCCTGACTAGATTTATTCGGTCAACATCAGTCTGGTTTACGCTGCAGTCGAAGGTTTGCTCGAACTCGCGATCTCGGGCAGAGGTCTCTCATATTTGCGTTCACGTTTTCTAAAGAGATTCTTGAAATACTGTGCATTTGGAATCTAGGTTGTAGACCTAATTTTAGATAGGATTCGCCTTTACCGTTAATGAAGGCTTCTGTTTGTTTTCCAGATATATGTTCAAGTGCCAAAGGTGTGCCCTTTTTAAATAAACATTTTTTAGCATACCAGCTTTACCGCATCGATGTGTGCCATGCGACCGCGACGTGTCTAAATATAAAATCCACAACATAGTTGGCACATCAAATTCGGCATAGTTTTGTCACATAAATGGTTGAATTCTCGACGTCGTCCTACATTTTGCATCAACCACATTGTATCATGGTCTTAATAATGCTACAGTTGTTTAAACCACATTTTAAAAGGTCATGACTCGAGGGATTGCGGCACATGATCCTTAAGTACTAAAAAACAATAAATATCCCAACCCGGGAAGAATATAATGCTAGTAGTCACAATAAAAAAACATTTTATTAATTTGTCTCGGTGTTATAATTTTAATTTGCACTTACCTGAACTTGTGCTGGTATTTCACTTTCAATCGAACCTGAGGCTTACTGAGCGATTGCGAACAGAGAAACAACGTCCCAAAGCCCAATCTACCTACCTTTCGAAGCGAGAGTTCAGACTGGTTCCTAAGCGAAATCGGTCCGTTAAAATAGAAACTGCCAGTCGCGGATTCAGCAGGCAATGGAGAGGATCCTTACATGCACTGTTGATGTCAACAATCACTGAAAATGTTTCTGACGTAACAAATTTCCAAAAAAAACTATTGATCAAACTAGCATGTAAGAAAAGCTCTGAGAGGCATCTTTTTATAAGTAATACCGCTGCAAAGGACATATCGCATTTGCTATTCTAATTGATGACCTTGGCCGAAATACTTTAGCACTAATGTGTCGACTTAATCGTGATTTTGAAACATTGACAATAAGCAAAATACCTAAAGAAAAGTTGCCAGAACATTTACAAATAGATGAAACTAACAAATCGTATTTCAAGGTGCAAAGTTGACGAATATGAAAAGGATTATTTTTGCATGGGTCTCACCAGAGCGCCTTAGCTGTAGTTTGAAGCAGTGTGCACATTCCGTCTTTTGTAATAACGGGATGCTGTTAGGCTACCGAAGGCAAGTTCTACAAGGTAATCTTTTCAGATATGTTAACATCAAACTACTGTCTTGGTAATTTAGATTCGATTTGGTACTTATAAATTAGACAGTTGATTGTCATCTAATGCCGGCTAGATGATCGTCTGGAGCAAATTAGAGAGTTAACCCGGAATTAGCGTTTTAGATCGCCATCCAGTAAGTTCGCTAAACGTACAACGTTGTCAATCTTTATCACGTGGCTTGTTGAGGCCGACAATGTAATTAGGTTTTGGTGTAAACACAAAGTAGTCGATTTCCAGCTTTAGTTGGTTGCATGCCAACTTGTCCGCTCTGGTGCATGGGTAAACAAATGCGTTTTGGAATGAACTGAGTGTTGTTTAATGGGTCTCATAGGCAGGGCGTTCGTTGTGTGTGTGTGTGTGTGTAGCACTTGACTTCATTCCTGTTGATTTAACTATAAACAAAGAACCAACGGAAACCAAATGTTTTTGCCACAGAGCCTGAAGTTCTCATAAGGAGGTAAACCAAAATTTTGCAGATCAGCCCAATCATTTTTTTCAAATGAACAAAAAAGTAATTAGTTTAATTTGTAGCCTCGAGTTGTTTTTGTAGTAATGATGTTCAAAGTCATCTGGCACAGCCTGTTGCCCATTTCTGGTAAACGACACACCCAGTATGAACGTGAATTTACGCCGTATCAAGAAGTGACAATCTATGCCTTAATTATAATGAGTAGTTAACGCACCCATTTTACAAGGTTATGACAAATGTTGTGTGGAATAATTGAAAAGCATCGAAATTTCAGTGGAGCCTACTATGCATTTATGTGGTGAATACGACCACATAAGAAACATCCGCAGAAGTCCAGGATGTATCTGCTTCTTAGGCGAGGACGGCAGTGCAGTGGAAGTACGCAGAGAGATAGTAGTAATAGTAGTATGCAAGTGGAGTTAGGCTAATTTTGCACATGACAACCTTTGGTCCAAAACCGGAAGTGTAATGCATCAACATTATTGAACTAAAGTGAAGTATTGCTTACTACTCCAGTTCCTATGAACTTGTAGTCAGAGATTTTTAATCATGATCTGCAGATGCTAGTTTTATGTCTCGTCTCCGTGCGATGTTTCAGTTTAAAGTTGCTTCTATCGCAGGATGGCACCCAGCTGAAGACAACTGCTGGACACTCAAACCCTAAAAGTAAACGATTTCTTGGAGACCTTTTAGCTCAAGAACCTTGCCGTCGTCTAGAACTGCAGTATGTTTAGCTCAATGTGAAATATCTTTATTTACACCAAGCACACCTAGCAGATCGTCTTCAATTAAAGCAATCATCTTTTCTCCATTGTGCGCCTATTTGGCTTAGCAACAACATCACAATTTTAAGACATTCTGTGTAAAATTTGGTCGGCCGCCTTAAAGTCTACTGTCTTCATTTTGCGTAAATTCCTCAGCCGAGCACTGGGTGAAGAAAGCAAATTTGTTTGTGCTAATAAAGGACCAAGCTGTGACACAAGTATCTTTTTTTGTCTATGTACAGGTTTGTGCGGATACCGAGTTGGTAGCAGTGGGGAGATCGAGTGGAGTGGGACAAAGTAGGAAAGGGTGGGTTCAATGTGTAAACGATTACACCTGTACAAAGTGTGCCAAGGGGTGTAGATATCTAAACAACAGAAATCATACTTTTTAGACGTTTCTGCGCTTCCGCAGCCTCAGCTGTTAATCTGGCTTTCCTCCGGCACATCAACAAGAGAGCCATTAGACCAGAAACAAGGGCAACTAATCCAATAGCAATCATACCGTAAAAGGTTATAAGGGTATACTGGTAAAGTTGTTCGTGCAACGCAAGGGGGACATTTTCGGCAAATATTATAACATTTGCCAGAGGAAGATGGGTTTCTTCTGGTGTAGTCGAATGAGGCGAAAACCCGTTGAGGGGAAAGGAGGAAGAGAGTGAGAGAGTCTTGGGGGTGGTGCGCAGTGCATTTGGCCAAGGGGGATGCGCTCGCTGTGTGGGGAAATATTGAGCTTCCAGTTTTGATTCTGTGGAAGCTGGAATAGTTGACAGCGGAACGCTTAGAGTGGTGGCTTCTGTGGGTACGGTGCTTTGAAAGTTTGTCTTCCGTGGGTATTTTACAGTCACACCTGCAAAAATGGAAAATGTGAATTCCCTATTAATGTTGCAATTTACGGGAAAAGGCTGCACAAATCCAAATGAAAGAAAAAACAGGCCATTATTTACATGGATTTCACGCCCCTTTCATTACGATGAAAAGTGGATCATAAATAAGATTTAATTTAGTGAATATGGAGTCGTACCACCTGATTACTTTTGATTCGCAGAAACTGGTTATGATGTCGAGTTAATTGCTTTTAACGTGGAAGATGACGTCCAGATTGCAAGAAAAATAAGCACTTTTAATTTTCCAATTCTATTTCTCAATATCATGGTACAATGAAATTTTTCAAATCATATAATCCAAAATGAGTAAAGCTAATTCCTTTCTGCGGTGCCAATATAGTATAAAATTTTACAGAAATATTTTGACCAAAATCAAATCGGAAATAAAGTAGCCAAATGAGTGAATATGAGGAACAAATGTATACCAGGCATTAGGGCCTTCACCTCCTCATATTAGTTTTAACCTTATCCAAGTCACTGCTTTCATTTGTATCTATAAGGTTCATTGTTTTGTTGGTTTTGTTGGTTGTTTTCGATCTCACACTCGTTCCTTGTTACTGAGTCCAAATACTCCGGAACTTTTTGTTGTAGTAAATGCAAGGGTGTGCATTGGGACCCGAATTAGGTTCTTCGTTTTTGCTTAAATATCCGATCAGATGCTCTTGGGCGCTATTTGCATTGATTTGGACTGAAAAATTAGTACTACACTGCAATAGGTTTGCTTAGCCATGCGTTGATTTTGTCCAATTTTACTGGCAGGATTTTGGTGTTTGTTGGTCGAGTTATCCGTGCACAGTACAAATGAGAGATGCAACGCATCCATGAGTTTCTATATTTGCTGTGATTCCATGATGGCATACTTGAGCTTTGAATGACTAAACATTGCTCTTTCAGCAATACGATATTTACGTGCCTTTTTTGTGAGAATGTGTGTAGGTTTTTTAACCGATACAAACTGACAGAACAATTTAGCGTCATGATGCTTTTGAGGAATGGGACGTTAATTATAGAGCCTCCTGATAGCAAAACAACTTAATTGTGGATTAGTGAATGAGGCCATTGAGAGGTGCTTAAGGATCTGTTATTAAACACCGTTCTACGTGGGCGTTTTATTACGCTTAGGCACCTTGGACAAACAAAATATACATGGCAGTTTCAAGTCTTAACATTGTCTTGATCTTTTTCATCAAGGCTTTGTTTTTACACTTTTAAAATTCTAATTATTAGAATAAATAAATTTGTACACGTAAATGTTAATTTCATTGTAACATCAAAAAAGGTTGGAACACAAAATTTTGGCCTAAGTTTTCCACGAAAATAAATGTCTGAAGATTTCATTATTGCTTGCTCCATTTTCTACGGCTTTGGATACTTTCATTTGACAACTTTTGCGTCAAAGCGGTAACACAGGGCCATGATAGAAGATTGCTGCCACACCTTCTCCAGTTGGGGGAACTGTCATAATGTGAGTTGAGTGTTTGTGCTGATAATCGGTAATTTGCAGAAAGATAAGATAGAGTGGCAAAATGCCTTAACAAAACCATTTCTACTTGGTGGGAAAGTTAAATTAAGCAAAATGAAAGATTCGTTTTCCTGATATGCCATTTTGGGATCCGGTTTCGTTAAAAAGTGACCACACTAAATTTTCGCCGTGACTGTTCTAAAGGTTGCACTGTCCCCTTCTACTTCTATAAAAGTACCAACTGTTTGTTTTTCTCAGGCAATAACAGTTAGTTAATGCGAAGCTTTGTAAGGATGGTCAAGATACTAGTGGTAATAAAAGAAATATAGTTCTACAAACTCCACCAAGTTTGCCAAAAACGGTTCGATATCGATAAAATATTGATTGCCGGTCTATGAGTGACTGAAAAACTGCAAATTGTTCCAACACTTAATTAGTTATTTACAGACGAAAATTTTAAAACATTTGTTTTGACCTATTTAAATTTGAGAAATTAGTTGCTGTAAATTAGAGATTTCCGTTATAATCACAATTATAAACCACAAAAACATAGAACTAGGTAAAAGCCTTTTTGCTTTTATAAAAATACTATCAGAATTAAAGAAAGTAAATGCACAAAGTCCTTTAAATGTGACGCCTTTTAGAGTAGTAGGTGCTAAGCAAGCCGATTTACAAAGGACAAAATTTGTAACAGAATCAGAAAGCCAAGATCGCAAACTCAGATGACCCTTGAACCCTACTTTGTCTGTTGTTGATATTAGGTCTAAACTTTGAAGGCAAGTGGCAATTTGAATGTACATTCGATTATTTAAAATAATATCTCCTAGCTCAGTGTGAGACCTTGGTTAGTGATTGCGGCTAAAAAGGTACTTATTTCATGCAAACAAACTGCAATTTCAAAAAATGTGCAGCATTTATAAATATGAGAATTTTGAATTGAATGGCTCATAAACATTTGTGGTTTGCCTCAGTTATTACCTTTTCTAAAGCAAGCACCTGATTTTGGTGTCCATGAAAATTTCTTTCATTACATCAGAAGGGTATAAGGTGACTTGAAATGTTCTACAGTTATTCGAATTTGTCACAACAAGATCAGTGACTATATCAGTTATGAACATCTTAGACGCAAGTGATTAAATACGAACAATTTATTTAGACATAAACCACAGCTATTTGGATTATGACTGTTCAGTTGTCAACCAGGATTGCTGCAAAACTTCCAATAGTATATAAGACATGTCAGTCCCATTAACACGCATTATCTAAATAAATAATGTTGAGCTCTGTTGATTTTAAGCAAATGTCTCCAATTAGGACTCATTTAAAAGAAATTGTCTATGAAGCCTATAAATGGACCCATCCGATTAGTTTAAAGAATGCATAGCCTAGTCACTGACTGTCTTAACAAAAGACATATTTTTGACATTGTCTCCATAAATAAAGTGGCTTCACGGCTTAATCAGATCCAAATCAAGCCCAAACAAAACAAAATCTGCCAGAACTGCCCATTTTTCAGTTCAGTGTGTTCGGTTTACCACCTTACGACAAAAACCGTACCTGGCCCTTCGAAGGTTATGTTCGCCTGAAAAAAATCACATTTTATACCTTAAGACACTTAGATTGGTTTTGTCCCCTAACTCTATATTCGACTCACTGAAGCCAGACCATGTTAGCATTGGCGTAACTGGCGTTTTCATTTTGTCCACCTTAGCTGGCTGCCTGAAACCGGTGCGGGCTTTGACGTAATTTTGTACAGATAGAGTTTAATGCGTTGTCTTGTAAGCATGACGAATTCACGCTGACAGCCCTCCAACTTGGCGAGCAGCATAGAATTGGGTACAGATAAACGGAAGCAATTACCCCAGACGGTATTGGCAGGCATGGACACGACGTGACCTAAGGGACGCCGAAAGTGCTGTCTTACCTTGCGGAAAGGGACCACCTCCAAGCCGATGCCAGACACCATGGGCGCAGTAGAAAACACTCCACTGACCACCGTTGTGTGGCCGCCAAATGGCGACTGACTTGTTCACCGTTAGATTTCCTTGATCAGAGGCGTGCTCGAGAGGACTGCAAAAACTGATCCGCTTGTCTGTTTAAATAGAATTAAAGTGTTGTTGCTGATGATGATGATGATGGTGATAGACTTTAACTCTAATTAACCCTTTTGATACGGTTGTCTACAAATGTTATGTACCTTTTAAGTCAAATGGCATAATTGAATTCATTCACTGTGGTGATTTCCTTTCAAATGCACTTTAGCATTGTCTTACAACAAACTGTGCATCTTGAGTTGAAATCTGGGCCCGGCTTTCATATTGTCATTACTTTACATAGCTGGTAATATTCATAGCAAGTGCTTGGTGTCTTGAGGCTTCTCGAAAATGTTATTTTTCTATATTTTACCGGACTAGGTCTTAAAATATGCCAAGACGAGCGTAAACGTCACGAAAATTTCAGAACATCATGGCCTTTCTTTTGCCTTCAACACCTAAATATTTTCTAGATTAAATACGTACTTGAGATATTTAAATATTTAGAAAAAGTTACTGTTTTAGAAACTCGTGTATTTAAACGTACTTTTGAAAACAAGCTGTTGCCTTTATTACAGTTACACGTTTTTTGCCTGTAGTAAAGTCGCTAATTAAATAGTGATAAGTGTAGGCATGCCATAACACAAACGACCACTGCAATCCGGACACTGTGAACACATTAAAAAAGTAAAATGTACTAGCTTTCTAGAACTGATCTACCACTCGTACCAAACTACCTTAATACATGTGTTTGCCTAAATGACATCAAGCTTTTTTACAAAACTTGTTTTTGAGCGGTTATAAATGGTTGTGGTTTGACCAAGGCAGAACAGCCCGGTTTCGATCATTTCTTTGTTTAAATCATTCACCTGGTCAGATTATTGACGTTATTTAACCAAACTTAGTTACAGCGAACCAGTGGCAGTCTTAAATAGAACAGAACCATTATGCACGAATTGTTAAGCCATGCTGTGATGTTATGCAGCCTTTATTACAATATTAGTCAACTTTAGTCCTTTTGCTCTTGGCACTATTCAAAGTAACACATTCGAACAATATTTTTTGTGCATCTCCACCTTATACCTTATTTCTGCACCAAAGAAACCAAACATTCAGATAAAATGATTCGATACTTTGATTGGTTCCAGTCTTTTCCATGTGTTACAGTAATCAACCGTGTTAAATATACATTACTGAAACCAAACAACTGTTGATTTAAGTAAAATATAAAAGATACTAAATAAAGCAAAGTTAAATAACTGTTTGGGTTTGATTTCGTTGTTTTTTTGTTTTTTTAGTCATAACGCCGATCATTTGAAGCAGTTTGCTTGCAGATTTCAATCATTGATTCCACTTTGGTCCTAGAATAAATTTTAAAAAAATTGGCTCCAAATGTGCTCTTATTTTAGCAAACCCAATCAATTTTAAATGGTTCAATATAGAAATCAAAGGACATTTACACATTAAAAGCACATAAGTGAAATATTATTTAACGTTTACACCTTGTGTGCTGCAATAGACCTTCATCTAAGTATTTGTGACCTTATAAATACAACATTACCTTGACGAATAACAAAGAAATATTTAATACATTTCGGAATGCTTTCCAGTCATTTTTGCTCAAAACTGCCCAGAAATAATCTTGCAGTTTTGATTTAAGTCCATATCCTGGGTTGAATGACACAGATTGTATAAACGGCAGGTTCCATTAAATCCCACATGAGACTTTAACGCTGTCAAAAAGGAAGGACTCCTGTTATCTACCGCTGATTACGTTTCTTGAAGTTTCAAATTAAATTTTGGCCTAAGCAGACCAAGATTGTCGTACACATGCCTATGGAATGCACCTGGTAAGTATTCATTTCTACGTTAATCGACAAGCTCCTCTAATCAAAAGCCAAACTGCAGGAAGGCAGTGCCTAAATAACTAATCAAGATTGTCCAATTGTTCTGCTGTGTGTTCAGTTTATGAAGTTTTCAATGCCCTTCTAATGTTTGATATGGAAAGTGTTTGGAATATAAGTCTTTTTAACAGCGAGTTACAAGTGCAGCATCCATACCATCGGATTGTTTAAAGTGATGTTTAGTGACATTTTAAGTGCTTTCACAAGAGATGCCAAAATCAAGGGATAAAACAGCTTAAAAATAATTGTTTTACCTGCACAGAAAAAAGATGTATGTTCAACTCCATGAGTGTTGATGCGCTGAAAGGAGGTACCACCTAAGCATATGTACCGTGCAAATTGACGCTTGGAAGGTACTGGAAAGGAGTTGTTGGCTGTTGTGTTGGCCATTTCGAAGGGATAGAGACCGGAGTCACAAATTAACTTCAAAATTGGTCCGTTTTCTACTATTTGTACACCAAAGGGCAGAGTGGAACGATCACAGGCCAGGCTCACAGTCAGAGAGGATAATACTGCAAAAGGAAAGTTTTTGAAGACAGTTCGAGTGATTGTCGTGCCATGACATAGGATAGTTAAATTATCATCTTTTTCTCGTAAGCGTTATACAGAAAAATAAATTGCCCTTTTTAAAGGTAAAAGGATGGCATTTGTCAATAAATCGTTTTGCTTCAGTTTTACTTTTTTGTATCCGATTTCAAAAGACTTGTTTATAATTCTAGGTTCGGAGAAGTCGGTATGTGCAGAGGTTCGTTGGGGATGGCAGTATTCCCCAGGACACTTGGTCTTATTTCACATCAATGTTAGAGATGCTTTATTTAAGTGGTCACATCAGAACAAACACCTCGTCCAAGTGCTAATCCATTAGATCAAGTTCACCCAAGACATGTTTAAGGTATTTGTTCTGATATACTACTCGGTTGTGGCCTGGATAAAATGGCACTCTACACGGAGTCTGGTCTTTGTTCTGCACTGGGAAGGGTGGGCTGACGATAGACAAGGAATTGGGATATTGGTTCCTTGAACGTGTGTTTTTGGTCACGGTAGCAAACTTCCACACTCAGATTCTGCAGTCATCTAGTGTGCAACCCGATCGTTTTTTTTGTTAATTTACTTGAGACACAAAAGTTAGACAGTTGTCCGAAACACTGCACTTGACTAATTCAATGGCAACTGGATCAATCAATTAGACTGCAGTACACACCCATCAAGTGCACCCACAGGAATCTGTTCATCGCACATTGAAAGAACAAATAGGCCCATCACGTTATTCGTAGTAAACAAGAGACCACTGTTTGCGCAAGTCGTGTCTGAAAAAGTCCTATATTTCATTTTCTGCTCGAATTTCAGTTATTTAGCCTTTTTTTCTAATGATACCGATGTTCGGGAATGCGAATGCCTCTCTTTCCAGTGACTCACAACACACTGTGACTCATTAAATCACACATATCTACATCGTCCTTGACCAAACGCCAATAGCGCAAGCATAGAGCCCAGAAATGGAGGGTTGTATGCCGAAGTGAATCCAAATGTGTATTTTGTAATGTATGAAGGGACGTACATTTATTAATTTCACCGATTGTCGACTAGTAAATTACATTATATTTCTCAGCACAAGTTCTCTCGGAAAAACCAATGAATTTACTTAACCACAGAAATCTGCGGTAACTGGCTCTGACAAGCAATGTTAAGCCTAATAATTTGATACACATAATCCTTTTATCTAACATGGTTTTTCGACGGGCCAGGACATAATTTCACCTGTGAGTAGAAGAATTTCTGTGCCCATCACTTAAGTGTGTCGCGAACACTCGTCTTACTTCATGGTACGGGGAGCAAACCATTATTTACACCTATGTCCGATTAAAGCACTCACAGGTGAAGATAATTGAAAACTGTTTGTTTGGATTTTGTTAGTGCTGATTTAACTTTGAAAATTTCATTTATTAATGCCATGCAGAGTAAACAATTATCGGGGTCATTACTGTGGCAAGGGCGTTTTCTATAATGTACTAATAAGAAGTCAACTTTCACGTAAATGGTAACCAATGAAACAAACTATGAGGTGATAAAAAAGGGTAGACACGATATTTGTGATAGCATCGACTTAAGATTTACGCGCTACAAAAACCACTGCACAAAATATCCGAAGATATATTAACGGATCAAACAGACCCCACATAGCAGATGTAAAACTTTTGTCAACTTCGGTAAATGGTAAAGTGCTTACAGATCTCATCATTTATGCTGATTTCCCATGAAGACCACTGCATTATAAAGTCATTTGTAGTAAACAAGACGTTATATGCGTTTGATGAAGCAGGACTTTGTAGAAGAAACTACAAAATACACTGCTAATTCACTAGGCAGAACAAAAGAGAAAATATAGACCTTGGCAATGTTCCAAGTATAGGCCTTTTCCGAAGTCTTCTTCCCTGATATTTATCGAATTTCAAGTGGAATAATTATTTGCTAAGTGAATTTTAAAAGGAGTTTACCAATTTTTTTAGAAGATCACAGTGCTAGCCTTAATATATTCAGTTACTTTGAATTAACTATGAATTAAAGGCATGCGTTACTTGAGGAATCTAAAAAAAACACGGTAACAGTCAAACATAACCTATTTTTACTAATAAATATAATCCCACATCCTCAAAAATGTTTTTTTATTCATTGCACTTTGATGTCTGGATAAGCACAATAATGTGATAACAAATTCCATGCAAGTTAAGGCACAAAATAATTTTCGGCTCTAGGTCTACACAACCCGTTTTTGTAACTATTTATTTTTAATTGTTTGTTTGACTATTTTTCAAACTTTCTTTGATGGCGTCAGTTACTGTAAGCAAAGGAACAAAGGCATCATCTGAATTTTTCTTTTTTAAATAATTTATTTCAAACGGCTAAACACTCATTTGACTGACGTTTGCATTAAACAAGCTCAAACATTGCGACTCCTGCCCTTTATGACGGTTGAAATTGTGTACCGATAATTCCCGATTCGTTTTTTTTTCATTCATTTTAGAATTGAG